AATCTTAAAAGTAGCAAGAGAAAAGCAGTTACCTACAAGGGAGCACCCATATGACTGTCAGCTGATTTCTCAACAGAAATTTTGCAGGCCAGAAGGGAGTGGCAAGAAATATTCAAAGCGATAAACAGGAAGGACCTACAACAAAGATTACTCTACCCAGCAAAGCTCTCATTTAGAATTGAAGGTCAGAAAGAGCTTCACAGACAAGAAAAAGCTAAAGAAGAGGGTAGATGTGGCTGGGAGAGGTCAATCAGGGGGGAGAAGAGACATATTTAATATTTTAATCAATAAAGAATAAAAATTTAAAAAAATAAAGGAGTAAAGGAGTTCATTATCACCAAACCAGTATTACATGAAATGTTGAAAGGTCTTTTTTAAGAAGAGAAAGAAAGGAGGAGGAGAGGAGGAGGAAGAGGTAAAGGGGGAGAAGGAGGAGGAGAAGGCAGAAAGATAAAAAATATGAACACACACAAAAAAAAGAAAAAAGATATTAACAATATGGCAACAAATACATATCTATAACAATTGAATCTAAAAATCAAAATAAAGGAACAAGAAACCTAATGAACAAAACAAGGAATCTATCTATATAAAACCTAAGCAACTGGTTGACTGGTCGCTATGATGTGCACTGACCAACAGGGGGCAGTCAACTTAGCCAAAAAGAGAAACAGGCGATTGAGTCTATGAAAGATTGCAAGCAGGTGGGGCTGAGCTGCAGTTCACATTGGGAGGCCAGGCCATCGGCCCAAATTCCACCACTCCAGAGGCATGGCGCCCCCGGCCCCCATCAACCCCTCTGGCCATATCCTCCCTGGGGCAGCCGGGACTGAGGGACAGAGGGAGGGAAAAAAGAGACCATGAAATCTGTCCCTAATGCCTGCCTCCTCCTATCAGACCGGAGCCATCCCAGGACTTGCAGGATGGTATGCGAAGTGGGCAGCCTTGCCATACAGCAACCATGGCTCCCTGGTCTGCCCAGGGTACCCCTCAGGCACTCACCCCACTTCTCCAAGCCTCAATCTGCACCCCTAGTGAAGCCGCGGGAACTCTGCCCTAGGGACTCACTTCTCCATAGCTGGGTGTGACAGACCAGGAGATGCAAAGGGTGGCAGTGGAAGACAAGGGCAGGCGCTCAGCTGACCGGAAGGAGCGGGAGCGGCTCCTCCCCTGCTGCCTGCGGCTCCGCGCACTACTATATCCCTTGGGAGATGTTGGATGCCAGTTTCAGCCTGATCCCCACAGGCCACACGGAGGGACCCCACCAGTGCATGAATCCATGCACCGGGCCTCAAGTCAGATGAATAAAATAGAACCAGAGTCATGGAACCATGGAACTGACTGATGAATCTCAGAGGGGGTGGGGCAGGAAGAGGTTAACAAAGAACGTATATGCATACTAGAGGCCCGGTGCACAAAAATTTGTGCACGGGGGGGGGGTCCCCTCAGCCTGGCCTGTGCCCTCTCGCAGGCTAGGACCCCTCGGGGGATGACCCCCCTTCAGGGTGGGGGTCCCCACTGGGGTGCCTGACCAGTCTGTGAAGGGCTGAGGGCCGTTTTCAGGCTGGTCACACCCCCTTCAGGGTGGGGGTCCCCACTGGGGTGCCTGGCCAGTCTGGGTGAAGGGCTGAGGGCCGTTTTCAGGCTGGTCACACCCCCTTCAGGGTGGGGGTCCCCACTGGGGTGCCTGGCCAGTCTGGGTGAAGGGCTGAGGGCCGTTTTCAGGCTGGTCACACCCCCTTCAGGGTGGGGGTCCCCACTGGGGTGCCTGGCCAGTCTGGGTGAAGGGCTGAGGGCCGTTTTCAGGCTGGTCACACCCCCTTCAGGGTGGGGGTCCCCACTGGGGTGCCTGGCCAGTCTGGGTGAAGGGCTGAGGGCCGTTTTCAGGCTGGTCACACCCCCTTCAGGGTGGGGGTCCCCACTGGGGTGCCTGGCCAGTCTGGGTGAAGGGCTGAGGGCCGTTTTCAGGCTGGTCACACCCCCTTCAGGGTGGGGGTCCCCACTGGGGTGCCTGGCCAGTCTGGGTGAAGGGCTGAGGGCCGTTTTCAGGCTGGTCACACCCCCTTCAGGGTGGGGGTCCCCACTGGGGTGCCTGGCCAGTCTGGGTGAAGGGCTGAGGGCCGTTTTCAGGCTGGTCACACCCCCTTCAGGGTGGGGGTCCCCACTGGGGTGCCTGGCCAGTCTGGGTGAAGGGCTGAGGGCCGTTTTCAGGCTGGTCACACCCCCTTCAGGGTGGGGGTCCCCACTGGGGTGCCTGGCCAGTCTGGGTGAAGGGCTGAGGGCCGTTTTCAGGCTGGTCACACCCCCTTCAGGGTGGGGGTCCCCACTGGGGTGCCTGGCCAGTCTGGGTGAAGGGCTGAGGGCCGTTTTCAGCCTGACCAAGCCTCCCCAGTGACAGAAGCTCCCAGCCTCTCCTTTTTTTCTTTTTTTTTTCTGGGATTTATTTACCTTCTATAATTGAAACTTTGTAGCTTGGGGCCAGGGCTTGGCTTCCTCCATTGCCAGGGGCAACCCAAGTCTCCAGCTCCGTGGCCACTGCTGGCTGAAAGCAGGTTTCTGGGTTTGTTTAGCTTCTATAATTGCAACATTGTTGCTTAGACTGGAGCTCAGAGCTGGGCCATGACAGGCGGGGAACCTTGACTTCCTCCATCACTGGAGCAAGCAAACCTCCTGCTCACTTCAGCTGCGTGGCTGCCGGCCGCCATCTTGGTTGGATTAATTTGCATATCCTGCTGATTAGCCAATGGGAAGCGTAGCGGAGGTATGGTCAATTACCATGTTTGTCTATTATTAGGTAAGATATGCATTACCCATGGACACGGACAATAGGGTGGTGAAGGCCTGGGGCAGGGCTGGAACTGGGTGGAGGGGGATAATGGGGGGAAAGAGGGACATGTGTAATAATCTCAACAATAAAGATTTTAAAAATCAATAAGTAAAACAGTAAATGTCTGGCCCTGGCTAGTGTGCTCAGTGGTTAGAGTGATGGCCTATTGGACCAAGGGTTCAATTCCTGCTCAAGGGCACATTCCTGGCTTGCAGTTTCAATCCCCGGCCCAGGTTGGGGCGTTGCAGGAGGCAACCAATCAATGTGTCTCTCTCACATCAGTGTTTCTCTCTCTCTCTCTGTCTCTCTCTCTCCCTCCTTCCCATCCACTCTCTCTAAAAAGAATCAATACAAAAATTTCCTCAGGTCAGGGTTAACAAAAATAATAATAAATAAAATAACAGTAAGTGTCTGGGGGGGGGGGTGTTGTCAGTCAGGCAGATCAGACAGGTGGTGACAGGCATGTCCTGGTCAGACCCGAGAGGAGGCTCGCTGGCACTGACCTTGACCTCTGGACAGATTCATTAAGGAGGATCAGCGTGAACACGGCGCAGAGGGTGGATGATTGGGGGAGGGGTCCAATGGGGGAAGGTTTTATTGGGGCGGAGAGTCTAGGTCACTTGGACAAAGCCAGGGCTCATCTAGGCACTGCGGTGGTGCTCCTGGGTGGAACCTGAGCTGGATGGCTGGCTGCCCTGTGAGGGAACCAGGAGGGTGCTGGCTGTGCACAGCGGGTGAAGCGGCGTTTCGGACACTGAGTCGAGCCCTGCAGCCGTCCTGGCTGCTGGGGACTCTGGGAGCCCAGAAGAATCAGGTCTTGGCAGAGCAGGGGGTTCGGAGTCTCTGGTTCTGCTGGTTTTGCTTTTGTGTTTTGTTAACACCACCCGCTGTTTAATATTTTGCACGCGCGCAAGCAGCTCAGTATCTTAGATGCATCACACCCAGTGGGTTCAGCAAAGGAGGCCAATTACCGGGGAAATGACTTCTGTGCATGGACAGCCTGTCCCTGGCTCCCGCCCTGGAGTGAGCACACATGACTGACAAACGCCCACTAACATCTGCAGGAATGCGTGGGCCTCGGGGTCAGGGCGGGGGTCCCCCATCCCTTCTGTGCATTGTTAGCATGTGCCCCAGGGAACGACAGCTTCATGAAATGACAGCCATCTGTCTGCTCAGGTGGCAGGAGACACGCCTGCCTGCCCGCCGGCCACCGCTCATGCTGCCACGTCCCGGGGTCCCTGCCACCCCTCCTCCCTGAGGCGCTCTCTGAACTGACGGCCTCAGCATGACTCCGAGGGGACACACGAAATGGTTTCAAGCAGTGCGCTGTAGACTTCAGTGGGATAATCCTCTATGATAAAAGCGTAGTATGCAAACTGTCTGTTCGACCAGGGGCAGGGCCGGCCCGGGGAACTGAGGGAGGCCCGAGCCGGCAGCCGGCAGCCGCCAGGGACCCTACCAGTGCACGCATTTCGCATCTCATGCACTGGGCCTCTCGTATCTGTTTGTAGCCAGTGGTTCTCTGAGAAAAAGAAAGTGGCTTTCATTGCAAACAGTTACTGAGGCGCCTTCCCAGGCTGCAGTGCGTCCGCGGTTGGGTGAATCCTGGCTCTTTAACCTTCCACGTGGTGTCCCCGTGGGACATGAGCTGTTTTGTGCAGCGGTACACGTCCCCTCACTGGCAGCATCCTCCTGTTTCCCAGCCCAGACCCTGCTCCCAAACCTCCCGACACCCCAGTCCAGAGCCCCGCCCTCTGCGCTGCACTCCCCTGGCAGACACGCCTGCTCCCAGCTGCCCCTCCTGACCTGCATAAGCCCCGTCCCCTTCAGCGTGGCGCAGGGAGCCTCCCTGAGGCTTGAGCCCCACTCGCTTCCTCTCGGCTGGACACGGTTTCCGTCCAGTATCTGGTAGTTGACCAGACCTGTCTGCCCTGTGCCTGGCTCTCCTGGTCCTGTACTGACAGAGGGGGGCGGTGGCCTGGGCTGAGTCTGCACAGACAGACCCCTCTGACCCAGCCAAGAGTGCGAGCTCCGTGTCTGCACGTGCGCCTGGCAGCCTTGCCCTTCCAACTGGGCCTGGTGGGGGCCTGCGCCCTGACTGTGCACACAGGGGATGTGGGCTCCGGCGCCCGGTGCCCCGTGTCGCATGCCCTGACTCTGGTTCCCATTGCAGGCCTACATGGAGGACCACCTGAGGAACAAGAACCGGCTGGAGAAGGAGTGGGAGGCGCTGTGCGCGTACCAGGCGGAGCCCAACAGCTCGCTGGTGGCCCAAAGGGAGGAGAACGCGCCCAAGAACCGCTGCCCAGCAGTGCTGGCCTGTACGTACAGCGGGGGCGCCACCGGGAAGGCTGGGACAGGCTGTACCTCTGTCCTCATAGTCCCCCATGTCATTCTCATGGCTGGGAAGCCCCTCTCCTTCCCCACCCCCACCCTGCACCCTCTCTGCGGCAACCTGTCCCCCACTGTGAAGAGCAGTGTGGACGCCCTCCATGAGGCTGTCCCAGCCTAAAAACGCAGAATCCATATCTGTCTTGGGGTCCGGGCACAGTCCTAAAACCCCAGTGGGGACAGAGGTGCCCGCTGCCTGCACTGTCAGGCGGCTTTCATGGTGCCAGTGGAGACTTGCTGCTACGCCCCTCAGAGCCTCTTCCTCTGCAGCTGGGAGCATGCGGTCGCCCTGGCAACCTGGCACTGTGAGGGTTGGAGGGGATGAGCGTGGTGCCGGCCGTGGGCCTGGGGTGAGCAGCCGTCACCAAGGCAGCATCCACTGTGGACTGCTACCTGGCCAGGAACCACTGCCAGTGGAAAAGCAGAAAGAAACGTCCAACCAACAGTTATTTATTAAGCACCTACTATGTGCCAGGGACTCGTGACAGAGACACCGGTGAGCCACGTGCTCAGGACCAGATGGGGGGCAGTTGGGAACAAGCAGACCTCAGGGGTGCTCGCTGCACGTCCCCGAGGTCAGGTGCAGGCTGGGCCAGCAGGTCTTGTGGGTGTGTTAGCCCAGCGCCTTTCCTGGGCACCCTCCCCCGTGGGACCCAGACACGGCGGCGGAGGGCGGTGCCACCCCTTCCCTGTGCTGCGCAGCCCTGCTGGGCAGGCTCAGGGCCAGCAGCAGTCCGTCCTCAGCCACACAGGGACCAGGCCCGGCTGTGGCGACACCCCCTCTGACCAGAGCCGGAGCCAGGAGCCACCTTCTTCCTGGGACTTGGGGACTGGGAGTTGGAAAGGCCACGGTGCTGACCCGGCCG